TAGTATAGTTTGATATCCAATAAAGTGACCCAACTCTGTGGATAAAAAAGCTGTGGGACATTTATACCATGGAATACTATGCAGCTGTAAGAAAGAAGGATTTCTTACCCTTTGGGGCAGTATGGATGGACCTGGAGAATATTATGCTAAGCGAAATAAGCCAGGCAGAGAAAGGCAAATATCCCATGATCTCACTTATATGGGGAATCTAAAGAACATAACAAACTGATGAACAAAGTAGATTCAGTGACATAGAGGCATGGAACAGACTGACGAATCTCAGAGGAAAGGTAGGGGTGGGTGTGTGGGTGTGGAGAGATTAACCAAAGAATTTACATGCATATATGCATAACCCATGGACACAGACAATAGTGTGGTGAAGGCCTTGGGTGGGGAGTTGGTGTGGGGTGGAAGGGGTCAAGAGGGAAAAAAGGGGACATCTGTAATATTTTCAACAATAAAGTAAAATAAAATAAATGTCACTCCCCTCCTCAAAAATAAATAAACAAACAAACAAACCCAACAATATTATACATTGTGTAGAGATAAGTATCTATGCAGGAAAGGCAAATCCCAGATTAAGGATAATAGTTACCACTGGGTGGAGGGGCCACAGGGGGCTTGAATTACAATCCTACTTTTTAACCTGGGTGGTAGGTACATGGATATTTGTCATATTAGCTTATAGTTTGGTGTAAAATATTTTGAATAAATATTTTTAAAGATAGCATCACAGCCCTTACATACATGGAGATAAGAAACAAGGTCTAACAAGACCTCCCTACCCCTGGGTGTTTGAGGGCTGAGAGCATGTGCAACAGCATGTTCTCCTACCTCCCCAGCTCTCCTTCCCTGTGGGGCCTGCCTATGTGAGCTAGAGCACGTAGCACAGACACAGACCCAAGGAAGTTGTGATGGACCTTGCCACTTATCTGGAGAAGCTGGCTCCACGGGCAGGGCAGGGTTAGGCAGAGGAAGAGCACCCGTGACTGGCCTGTCCACAGCCACACATACTTGACCACAGTACAGAAGGAAGTCCTCCTAAAAGCTGCTCTTATGAATGGCAGGCACGGAGAGGCAGAGGAGCTGGCTGGCTGCTGGTACTGGATGAGATTCACAGTCCAGGTGGGACTGCTCAGTCATGAAGTCCCCCAGAGGAGTATTTCTCTACAGTCCCTCTGTATTCTAGATTTGTAGACATAGTTCCACGTTAATAATATATTAACTTGCTCTGACATATCATGAGGCACTGAAATGTGAATCACTGAAAAAAAAACAGTGAGGTCCACACATCTTGTATTAGCTTCCTATTGCTGCTGTAACAAATGACCACAAACTTAGTGGCTTAAAACAACATAAATTTATCACCTTCCAGTTCTGTAGGGTAGAAGACTGCCGGGGTCTCACTCAGCTGAAGTCAAAGCATCAGCAGGGCTGTGTTCCTTCCTGGAGGCTTTAGGGGAGACTGTCCAGTTTCTGAAGGCTGCCCACATTCCTTGGCTTGTGACCCTTTCCCCCATCTTCAAAGCCAGCAGTGTTGCATCTCTGACATTCAGTGGTCACATCTCCCTCTGACATGGCTGGATACATGTGACTAGACTGGGCCCTTCTTGATAATCCTGGATAATCTCACTCCGCATCTCAAGCCCTTGATTTAAACACATTTGCAAATTCCTTTTGCCATGCTCTGGAACCAGGGTGTGGACATCCCTGGGAGGCCACTGCTGTGTGTACCACACACCTCTAGGAGGATCTCCGAGGCCTCTATCACTTGAGGTGCGAGTGGCTTGGCCACACAATCGAGATATTTGGCTCTATCTTCCAGGATCCCTAAGAAGCTTTTGCTTACATTAACACTTTTTTCCTCAAATGGGTTTTCTCACACTGTTAACGTCAATTGCAGAAGTGTGTCAAAGTATAAATAACATTCACTGTGACAGTGGATGTATGTCATCAGTATGATCAGCCTTGGGGATTGGGATAGCTGACTGCTGACTGATTTCCCAATTCTTTACACTAAGGTTTTGAGATTGAATACATATAAAAAAATATAAATAAAAACCAAATAATTAAAGCAGAATGTAAGAAGAGGTGAAGACGAACATGCAGCTATGAAGACAGTGAAGCCTATGGTGCCATGTATTTGGCACTAAAGTTTCTGGTCAGTTACAAGGTTTTTCACTGTTCATTATTCACGCAGTGAAAAAGCAGCTGTTTCTAAGAAAAGCTTTCGCAGTAGGCCTGAGACTCAGAAGTTCTCGTCCAAGCAGCACTAAGGGAAACAACAATCTCTCTGTAGTAAATGGAGCAAGATGTTCCTAAGATTGTTGAGGACAGAGTACCAAAGCACAACTCAGGAAAAGCAATTGTATGAGGGCCAAGGCAGGGTCCCCAGCAGCAGCTTTCCAAGAACGAACACGATCCAGGTTGTGACTCTTTATTAAGTAGTGAAATGAATTTATGACCGACACACACACAAAAATGAAATAGAACAGAATAATAAAACCAGTGTTTCTTCGGTGTCGGGCCATATGTATATTTGATGGAGATGTAAAATGTATGTTTATTGTGGGTGACAACCAGAGGGCTGAAAGGGACTGCACAGATAACCCTTCAGAGATCAGGAGTGCTTAAACAAGTTCTTGCTAAGAGTTGGTCAGCAGATAGACTGACGTTATATTCTCCAACAAGGGTCTACAGTTCAAATATTGTTTCTTGTCCTGGCCTAAGAATAGGATTTAGAGAAATCAAAACCAAGAAGGCGAGGAATAGGGTCAGGGCATCAGAAGAGTGCCCAGAATGCTTGAGAGAACAAGAAAACAGATGCCGAGACTGACTTCCTGTGGGAACTGAGGTTCCGCCGGCCTGGACGGCCCTCCCACCTGTGACCTGAGTTTTAATGGATCCCGACTCTTCCTCAGGTTGGTCAGTGGCCCAGAGGCTCTGCAACTCTAAACTCTCCAAGTCCAGGAATGGTGGGTATCTTTCATAGTTCAGAGGGACCATGAGGCACTGGGTTGTAGTGTTCTTTTGGCTCAGAACATTTTTCCTAGAGTTAGTAATTTTCTGCTTTGCAAAATACTTGTTTTCTTATTTTTATGACTATAGCAGATAAATATGAAAATAAAAAGAATACGCTAGCTTTGAGTATTTTCTTTACAAGTTAACAAACATAACTTTAGAGGCTACCAAAATAATAAATTAGGTAAATGTTTTGTATAATATATAAAGTGCTATAGTGAAGTGGTATGTTTTGGGATAGTATTTTAGATTTTAATCTTCATGTATTCTATAATAATGGCTAAAGGATATCTTTTATAATACTGGTTAAAGAATATCTTATTTTTATAAAAAGGTCCCTATTTTACTAAAGATGGGATCTAGGAGGAACTTGAGGAATCATTACAATAAGCCCAACTTGAACCCTGCGCATCACACTGGTGACTGGACTCTTTGTTTCCTCTAAACAAATCCCAGGCTTTGGTGTACCTTATCAAGAGCATCTAAGACTAGAAGACAGTTTGCACTCAACAGTTAAACACCCAAAATGCTAGAGTCAGCCAGAAGGCAAAGGTGGGTCACCTGGTCTCAGGAGGTGAGTGAAGCCAACAGTAGAATCAGAATTGTGAATCAGAACTGAGGACACGGGGTCAGAAGGACCACAAGAAAACCCTATGACAAAGCATCAGAGGAGTGTTGAGCCATCAAATTTAGCCCCAGGAGACCAAGTAGAGTTTCTTAGAAAATGAGGAGTGAGCCTTCTGGAGCACACTTCTGCATTTCAAAAACAAAGAACAAAAACAAATCCCTTTTTATTTTTGGAAAATTCAAAACACATACAAAAGTAGAGTAGTGTAATGAACCTCCCATCACTTCAACAATTATCAACATTTTCCCATTATTCTTCCATCTGTCTCCAACCACCAGTCTCCCTCCCCCCCACCACCAACTTTTTATTTTCCGGGAGTATTTTAAAGCAAACCTAGTCATCACATTAATTCACTCATATAAATACTTTTTAACATGTATCACTAAGAGATAAGAAGCTTTTAAAAACACAATACCATTGCCACATCTAATAATAATTTTTAATATTATTAAATACCCGGACTGTGTTCAATTTTCTACTATGACCTCACAAATATCTTTTCATCGTGGGTTTGTTCAAATCAGGATCTACACAGGTTTCACAGACTGCATTTGGCTGATTTGTTTCTAACCTTTTAGTCTATAACAGCTTTTCCTCTCCCTCCCTGTCCTCATGCCAATTGTTTACTGGTTAGAATTTTTCACATTCTGGGCGTTTTCATGGTGTCATTTAATGTTTCTTTATCCACTGTCAGCTGGTAGCCAGGACTAGCGGCTGGCTGTCAGATCCAGTTGTTTTGGTGAGACTACTTCAGAGATGCTGTGTGCGTCCTCCTGCATCATGCGGGGGGCCCAGGTCTGCCAGCCTCACCTCTAGTGGGGTTGAGATTGATCAGTGGGCTCAGGTGTTTGTCAGTCTGACCCATTCATTAAATGATCCCTGTCTTCAGTTTAAAGGTTTTAAAGGCCATTATAATTGCCTAGATTCCTTATTTTATTCAAGGGTGCAAAATATAATTTTATAAATGTATCTTTTCTTCTGTTTTTCAATAGCTTACATTCTTCAGTGAAGAAGTCTCCTTCGTCGATTATTTGGTTTCTCTGAGATAGTTTGTACAAGACAGACTGTGGCACATTTTAAAAGTGACACAGTATGTCTGACACTTTCCCATTTGTGCCCTTTTTCTCATTCCAGCTTCCCAGTGCTGGGAAGATGAAGGTCCACACTCATCCTCTTTAACGCCTGAAGCACAGAACTGCTAATGAATAACAGAATTTTCTGAGCGTGCTCCTCTTACATCCCAGTGCTCAAACTTCACTCGTCTTCAAGGCCCAACTCCCGGCCCCTCCACAAAGTCCTCCATGATTCTCCCACTTGGACGTCACCTGTTCTTCCTCCAAACCCCAGTCATCCCACAAACACCTCCTCTCTCAGATGCTAGTCACTGTATCTTTTTAAGAAACTTCCCCTTTACTCTTTGTAAATAATTTTTTATGTATTTTATCTTCTTGCCTAGACTCCTTAGAAGCAGGGCTATGTTTGACTTAGCTTTCTATCTCCATAGTGACTAGTGTTTCTTAACCGTTTGTGGGAAGTCAATACAGTAAGTACTTGCTTGATGAAAAAAATTAATGAATTAGAAAAGAAGAAACCTTTAAGCCTTCATAGCACTGAACTTTTTCTTCTTTTAAAGATGAATGGGGCTTTCTTGGGTCCTCTCTTCCAAGATGACCAAGAAAAGAAGGAACAATGGTCGTGCAAAAAAGGGCGACATCCATGTGCAGCCTATTCACTGCACCCACTGTGACCGATGTGTGCCCAAGGACAAGGCCATTAAAAAGTTCCGCATTCGAAATAGTAGCAGCCACAGCCACAGCCATTAGGAACATTTCCGAAGCAAGTGTCCTCAATGTCTATGCCCTCCCCAAGCTCTATGTGAAACTACATTACTGTGTGAGCTGTGCCATTCACAGCAAGGTGGTCAGGAATCCTCCTCCTGAAGCTCAAAAGGACCCAACACCCCCACCTGATTTGGACCTGCAGACGCTACCCCATGACCGCCATCAAAGCTCATGTAAGGAGCTAAATCCTAAGGACTAAAGAAAAGTTCTCTGGAAAAAAATAAAATGGAAATTATGTTTAAAAAAAAAAAAAGATGAATGGGTATGTTATAAATTTAGTATATATGCTTTTTTTAATAACTTAGAAATATGATAGACTTCTTTAATTAACTGCTATTAAAAATAATTTATGTTAATTAACCTCCTTTTCATTGTAGTGGGATCCAATTTGATTGTAACTCTGTAACTATTATAATCTTAGCTACTAAGATCGTATTTTCATTTTCTTCTAACATATTTTTCCTGTTTTATCTGCCTTTATTTTTTCATCTTTATTGAGACATAACTGGCATATAACATTGTGTAAGTTTAAGGTATACAATTTGTTGATTTGATAAACTTGTATACTACAAAATGATTACCACCATTCTATTAGCTAACACCTCCATTAAGTTACATAATTACCATTTCTTTTCAGTGATGACTTTATCTTTAGATGCCATCTAAAATAAACTATGAGTGCTGTTTCCCTAAGCACCCCTTAATCATGGTTGTTGTAAACAGTTATTGCACCCTAGCTGGTCTGGCTCAGTTGTTAGAGCATTGGCCCTCTCACTGAAGGATCCCAGGTTTGATTTCTGGACAAGGGCACGTACCTGGGTTTCAGGTTCACCTGAGGGTATTTTTTCCATTGCTTTTCAAAGAGAGTGGAAGGGAGAGATGATGTGAGAGAGATACATCAATTGAGGATTAAAAAAAAAAAATTAACAGCTATTGCTGTAAGAATGGTGGTAGCATATGCAACAATGTAAATAAGCTTCATTCACTATGAATAATTACACACATCTTTTATTTCTACATTTTCAAAGAAATTAATCTGATTAGTCTTAACAGAAGTGTCAGATGAGACATTACGTAAAATTTCAAAACCTGAAAATGCAAACTTCATTTCTATACTTTGTGGGTGAATAATACTGCCACAATGCCAGTATGTTACCATTTTAATAAGCAAATGTTTTGTAGGCAGATAATTTCATAAACTTGTTAATTAAACGGTGCTATGTATAAAAATGATAGCAAAGCAACAAAAGTTTTTCTTACCAAGATATTAAGCTCTTCATTTAGACTGTGGTACTTATCCAGTTTGGCTCCCAACAAGGTAGGTACATCTCTGACGTTCTTGGCTTCATTTGAATCAAAGTCTGTAACCTGCGATTAAATATTTGTGCTCACTTCTAATACTTTCACATTCCTTTGAGTATTTGAAAATAAATACTTTATTAGTGAAACAATCAAAGAGATTTTCAGTGGCTAGAATAATAGAAGTATGTATAGAATTTAGAGCTAGAAGGATTTAAATAAATTTACCAAAAGAATATAAGTATGTGAAATTGTATTTTTGTAAGTTGAAGACAGCACATAGTAAATGTTAAACTCACGTCAACAACCTGATCTTGAAATGCTTTTTCATTAGCAATTAACTCTCTGAAAGTTGCGATTCTGTCTTTATGTTTCCGTAGCTAAGAAAAAAAGCATTTTATATTTCAGAGAATGAAAAGAAATTAAACTACATTCTATAACACTTACAATAAAATCATCAAATCATGCATAGTCCAATGCTTTATCTCCAAAAGATACACTGTTTTTACAGCTCTTATTCAGAAAAGAGTTCACACAGTAGGCCTGAGGCACTATCCTCAGAAAGGTCTGCTAGCCAGGTTGCTCCCTTACTGTATCAGGAAGCTTGGATTGTGGGAGGGTTTCCATCATTCCCTGATATGAATGGTTCATTGTGCCTAACAAAGAACGTGGTTTATGCTGAACACCTCTTTCCATCTGGAGGGTCTGTAATTTTGGTAGGTGTTAGGCAGAAGAAGGTGCCTATGGGAACAGCCCCCAGTAAAAACCCTGGGCACAGGTCTCAAATGGGCTTCCCTGGCAGACAACATTTTACACGTGTTGTCACAACTCACTGCTAAGGGAATGAAGCGCATCCTGTGAGACTCCATGGGGAGAGGACTCTTGAAACTCGAACCTGGAGTCCTCTGGACTTTGCCCTATACACCTTTGCCCTTTGCTGATTTTGCTCCGTATCCTCTCACTGCAATAACACATCATAGCTGTGGGTACACTGTATGCCCTAGAGTCCTAGAGAATCAATTATCCTAAAGATGGGTTTGGGATCTCCAGGGAGCTTAGACTAATATTCCATTGTTTTTACAGTTAGGCTATTAAAATTCTTCCTTAAAGAAAAAAAAACAAAAACAATGCAACTTTTTCTAGATACAGTTTATAATCATTCCTTATTTGTTCATTTGTTCCTTCAGTATAACAATAAATCTAAATATTCAAACTTCTCCAAGTATCAGTGAAGTAAAATGTGGTGCACAGAATATTTTTTTTATTATGAACAATTTCCAATATTTTTAAAAAATAGAAAAGAAACTTTAATGTAACTATCACCTAGCTTCAGCTCCTAATAGCTAATGGCCAACCTTGTATCATTTATGTTCCCAACCACTTCCTTCCCTCTCCATCCCCCTTCACCGAATCAAATCACGGACATCATATAATCTCATCTGCCAATATTTCAGGAATTACAGAGAAATTTACCAAGAACATAAATATATGAAATTGTATGTTTGTACCACTCTGTTCAACCCTTGCCTGAGCTTACGTGTGAAGACTTCAAGAAGTGGAGGCCAGTAGTTTCTGTGCATGTCTGTTTATTTCTTGATCTTTTCCCCTACAGGCTGCGTAGGAGACAAGGTCATCCCCCGACTACCTGCGACAAATTTCTATCCACCTCAGTTCAGGGAAGTAATTTCCTGATAGTACAGGACTAAATTTGTTACAATGACCCAAGATCCCAGATTTGAAGTTATTTTTGTTCTTATTTAGCCAGATAAATCTGTCACTTTTGTTTCCCTCTCAGATTAAAAACTGCACAAATTAACATCCTGTTATCACCTTCCGTATTTAACTTACTCTTTTAATTTTATTTTTCAGTCTCTGTAGCGCTACACCAAGAAAAGAATAACTGAAGAAATTTCAGGAGCCTCTTCCGTTACCCTTGTCCCACATGAGAAATAAAATGATTTGTTTTCAGTTTACCCATTATTTCAAATGATAAAGTTTGAAATCACTATAGAAATGTCAAAATACATTTTTCTTCAGGAATCAGTAATGCTATGTAAAAGAGAGAAAATAATCATACCAATTTTTTTTTTTTTTGGCAGATGAATAAGACTGTCTAATACAGACTTACATCATAAAACAAATCAAATGTTAAACAATATATCTCCTTAGTGAGGGCCACAGTAAAGCTAATCTGGCCCGGCCGGGTGTGGCTCAGCGGTTGAGCGTCGACCTAGGATCCAGGCGATCGGGGTTCGATTCCCAGTCAGAGCACATGCCCGGGCTGCGGGCTGCAGCTGATCCAGTGACTCTCTCATCATTGATGTTTCTATCTCTCTCTCTCCCTCTCCTTTCCTCTCTCTGAAATCAATAAAGATATATTAAAAAAAAAAAAAAAAAGCTAATCTGGTCCACAAAAACAATTCTTTTTAAAACATCCAAATTTTAGGAATTTCTTTCTATTTTTATGCTACTTTTACTTTGACTATTTTTTCACTAAAAATGGTAAAATTTTAATTTTTATTATTGTTATTTTTTAATCCTCACCAAAGGAGACGTTTTTATTGATTTAGAGAAAGAGTGACAGAAAGAAAGAGAGACATAAATTCATTGTTCCACTTATTTATGCATTCATTGGTTGATTCTTGTATGTGCCCTGACATACAACCTCGGTGTATCTAACCAATTGAGCTACCCACCCAGGGTGATATAATTTTAGGATAAAGAATACATACAGTACCTCTTCATCTAAATTTTTCTTTTTAAGATGAAAAGTCTTCAATTTTTGCAAAACTGCATCACTAACTTTCTCACTCTCTTTAAAATGTTCAGCATCAGGACTGCTGATGTCCTAAAAACAACAGTTTGAGAAGCTAGATTAAGATTTTTTCAGTAAAGCTAAAAGAAGGAAAAAACACAAATGAAACAAATCTTCCTCCCAAAATAAGGGATGAAACCAAAGGAGATAAAATAATAATGAACTCAATTCTTCAATTACACATCATAAGATATCCAATAAAGGGTTAGTGTGAAAAGAATTCATATAGATATACACTCATATATAAATTGTTATTGGGACAGATATATATATATAATCGTTCAGAGATTAATACTCATTTATAATAACTATATATGCTCATGCAGTCATACATTTAGCCCTTCTTGATGTAGTGAATTTACAAATCCAAATTTTATTTTATTTTATTGTTTTAAGTGTTCAAACATGCTCTTAGTTAATGGATTTATTTTTATTGTTCAAAATATTACAGATATCTCTTTTTCTCCCCGTTGACCCATTACACCCTGACAAATCAAAATTTTAGACAAATTATTGTAACTGAAATCAAAATAATCAGACAGCCTCAAAAATACTTAAACTCTAGATATTTTCAGGGTACCCAGAATGAAGGTAATTATACTAAAATAACCTAAGGGTCTAACGTGTATGCACTGAAGTCAAACTGCCTGAGAGATTCTGCCTGAGTGCTGCGACTTTATTATATGAGAGACTTTAGACAAGAAACTCAATTCTTCTAAGCCTTGGTTTGTTTTTCCATGTTAAAAAAAAAAACGCCTGATAATATAAAGAATGGTGTAAGAGATAATCCATGAAAAGCAGGAACAGTAAACTTAAATGGCTCCAAGGATAGGTTGGGAAGTCAGCAAATATTTGTTGAGTGCCTATTAGGAGCTTAGCCTGTATTAGGTACAGGGCATACAACATACCAAGTCTCTAATCTTGAAGGCTTATGTCCTAGTGGGGTGGGAGACACAGAATAAGCAAATACAGTATTTGTTTGGCATGTAATGAGATCTACTAAAAATATCTGTATTCATTATTAAGAGGTCTGGTAGGAAAGCAGCACCCAGCAAATAAGACAGCAGCTGCCAGGGTGATGGACACAACCAAGCAAATATAGTCAGCAAGCAAATGTTTGAAGGGCAAGGTGGGGTGAAAAGGTTTGTAGCCAAGAAGAAATTGTGCCACAATCAAATTCCAATATTTAAAAACGAAACTTTAGGTAGATACAGTCTGTGGGCCACCACTTTGTGATCTCTGCATAAAATGCTTAGCCCGGTGTCTAGCATTCAATAAATGCTAGTGTTCAAAATACTTTAGCTAAAACAAAATAGAAATAAGGCTTGTGTTGGATCAGCAACATCACACACCTATGCCACCAAACTTTGGATCAGAGGAATACACTTAAGATCAAAGAAATGTGCAATAATAGAAGGAAAGGGGTAGAGAAAGAGCTAGCTAATTTGAGAAACTATGAAGTATCTCATCCTTTAATAGGTTCTCTCATTAAGTGGATGCTTGTAAGCTCCCAGGGCAGCAGCAAGTACCATTTCCCCTATTTACGAAGAGGAAACTAAGGCTGAGAGAGGTAAAGAGACTTGGCCAAGTCTCACAGCCAGGAAGTGGTGAAGCCAGAATTCGAACTCCCCTGACACTAACATTTTTCATTCTCCTAATGGACACAGCTCTACACTGCACTCCCCTGCCCCAAAGCTATATGTTTTGGATGGGTAAACAGCTCATTAATGTGAAGAATCACTAATTCCTAGAGCAGGCTGACCCAGAGTTGAAGACTACTGCTCTGAAAGAGCTTTCCTGAAACATGAGAAGTACTAATGTTACTATGCTATAGACTCGTGGGAATTGGATGTTGAAGGAAGACAAACAGAAAGCAGCAGTCCGGGGAAGAAAGGCTGATTGGCTGTTTTGTCTCTATTTTGTCTTTCATTATTTTCTTTCTTAACTTAATTCTGTCACCTCACATTGCCTCTTTGGGTTTGTCTAACCTTGGTATTTTCCCCTTACCCAATAAAAATATGCGTTTTAAAATTTACCTGGCATGTGAGAAGTCTTGCCATCAGAGCCAGAAGATAGTGAATTTTGAAGGCCGGCTGAGTCCTTTTCTTATCTGGGGCATTCGGGCTCTCTTCTTCACAAGGTGAGCAATTCAGGAACAAATTAGAATGTGTCATCTTTGCATCCTACGTGTACACAATTCAGATTTGTCACCATAAAAACAAAGAATCTGGATTACTGTTAAAGTAAAATGCTGAGTAAAGTACTACTAAAAACTCTGAATAGTGGTTCTCAAACTTTTTGATTTTCAGGACCCCTTGATACCCCTTAATTTTTTATAAAAATTAAGGACTTCAAAAACATTTTGTTTATGTTGGTTGTGTCTACCAATATTTTTTGTATTAGAAATGAAAAGTGAGAACATTTAAAAATATTTGTTTACTTTTCAATAACAAATCAATTGTGTCAATATAAATAAATTTTTTAAAAAATTACAACATTTTCCAAAACAAAAAAGTTAATGAGAAGAGTGGAACTGTTACATTTTCGTGTGAATATTTTTGATGCTGGTTTAATGGAAGACAGCCGGATTCTCATATTTCCTTCACACACTGTGTCAGCCTCAAAAACAATTACAACATCACATGTCATTTAGTTTCAGGAAAACTCCACAGTATACTTGTGAAGGAATGAGAGTGAAAAAAAGCAATGATGTTTTCATATTACTATGAAAATATTTTTGACCTCACAGACTCTCCCAGACCACACTTTGAGAAAATGGACTTATAGAGTTAACGAAAAGCAAAATTAAAAGCAGAGTAAGAATGATTTGGGGATATTAAACAAATTGATCAATCAAGATAAAACAAAAAATTTTACTGTTTTTTAAAAGGAAGCTCAAGAAAACAATCATATGCTGTGACAGCCTTCTATACACTTACACTAATTCATTCAGAGTTTACCAATTTAAAATTTGTCATGATTTGGTTAGCAGCTAAACTTAGGTCATCTTTGCTTAGGTTCGTGGTTCTCAAAGTGTGATTCCCTGGACCAGCAGCATCAGCGAGACCTAAGATCTTGTTAGAAATACACACTGTCAGGCCCCAGCACACACCTACTGAATCAGAAACTCTGGGGTGGGCCCAACAATCTGCATTGTCACAGCTGATGTTGACAAAAGCTAAAGTTTGAGAACCACTGGTTTAGATAATCCTTCTTTCTTTTTGGAGAAAAGATCACAGAGAAAATTTTTTAAACAGAGAAAATGTCTTCCTAAGAATCAATAATAGAATTATTTACTTGCAAACAATACATATATGTACTGATTACAGATTCATGAAAGAGAGACCACTCAGGACATCTATAAGGCACACATCAGCTCAGTTCAAGTTATCATAGCAAATATTACGTGTACATTTTTCTTGTTCAGATTAGCCTTCTTTCTAAGTAGTCAGAGTTAATAAGATTGTACTATAAATATTTTAAGGCAGGCCTACAAAACTGAAATTGGTGTGCTCTGTCTTGTGAAATTATCACTTCCAGGACATGCTTCCAGGTTTCTGACTGTGAAAAAAGCCAGTTGAATAGCAGAGAATAGCAAATTATAGCTCCTCCAAAAATATTGATAGGAGGTTCCCATGATGTTTTTAACTGATGTTAACTGGATGTATACAAATATCTAATAATTATGCTGTACATGTGAAACTAATGTTATGTATCAGTTACATCTCACTAAAAATGTTTATAATTTTACAAAAATAATGATATAATATAGGTTTGTTTTACCATGTAAACCAAATATGCAATTATATTATTTACTTTTATTGTTGAATAGGCAGGCATGGTATAAAAAGACTGAAATCCCCACTTAGAAAAATCTTTTCTCAAAGGATGCTTCAGATGACTGGTCAGAGGTACCCACAAAAATTCCCACGTTAATTTTTCATCTTTACCAAAATAATCACAAGAGGCCAAAAGTGATGGTTCTTCAACACAAGTACCCAAGAACCAAAGAAACTTTTTTCAAGCCCATGGTACATTTTCCATTCTGTCTCTCTTTTTTGGTTAATAATTCTTTCTGCAAAAAATTTGTGTGTCATGCCTAATGTGCATCACCAGACTACTAGAAACTCCTGAAATTCTGCATTGGAGATTTTTAATTAGTGACAATACCTTTGTGATATCTGACTTCATAAATCCCTCTAAGTGCTCCTTTAACTGAGCTATCTCCAATTTAGGGCCACAATTTTGCTCCTCACTCCTTGCGATCTGCTGCAGAAGTTTTGCATTTTCATTTTTTATTTCATTGATCTGCTGCTGAAGTTTTGTATTTTTAGCCCTTTCACTTTCAGATATGAATTGCACATTTTTAAACTGAGCTATCAACTTCTCAAGTCTACATTTCAGTTTTTGTCTTTCTTCCAGGTTTTCCTTTTCACGTTTCTGAAATTCTTCCTGTAAAGAGAGGAACTCTTGCTCTCGGGTCTCTTTTTCACTTTTCAGTAAGTCCAAAGCAGAAGTGGTGGCGTTTTCCAATTCTCCTTTGAGTTGCTGCAGCCTCTCTACCTCTTCTTCTTTCTTGCTTAAGACTTTGCCCATCTCTCTGTACTGACTAACAATTTTGTCTTTTTTTTGCATTTCAGTTATGTACCTTTCTTGCAGACAAACATAATTTCCCTTGATCCTCTTAAGCTCTACCTGTAAGGTTTCCTTTTCTTTCCTAGACTCCTGAAGGTGTTTCTGGGTGTTAGTTAAAATATCATGGAAATCCTGCAATGTCTTGTCAGTTTCGTTCTTCTCTATCATTACTTTGTATTTGTCTTCAATTAATGCTTCCATGTTCTCCTTTAGCTTATTTATGATGTCAGCGAACACTAGCTGCTTGTTAGTTGGCACCTGCAGCTCTTTAAGCTTCTTCTCTAAAGACATGTTAGCACATTCCAAGTTCTGGATTACAGTTCGCTGCTTTTTGTTAGTACGTTTTAATTTCTGTACGACTTCATTTAAAGCCATATCCTCTTCCAGAGGTTGTAAGCTTTCCCAGTCTTGCTCTGTGTCACATGTCTTGTCCTCCCAAGATGCTCCACCACTCCAAGAAATGCCTGCAGGAGAACAAGCTGACACAATCCCTGGACTCTCCACGTCCTCCACTGTGACTTCATTTTGGTGACTGACTGACATTTCAGGAATCTCCCAAGAATTCTGTATCCCTTTTGAAGAAACTGCAACCTGTAAATTATAGTAAATAAATGTGAAAGAGTAAGATTACCTTGAGCTTTGAAGTCAGAGCTGGCCTTGAATCATAGATCGTTAGTTTGATTTCCTCAGCTATAAAATAACGACTATACTATCTACTTCCAGCAATGACATCTACTTAACAAAAATACTTAAGTATTAATTGCTAAGTGTATGTATAGCACCTAACAGCATAGTAGAACACAAACAGATATATGGTAAAAATATGTATCACATTTACTTTTACAAAAGAAAAATTACACTTTGATACTCTCACTATTTTCTCTGATGTAAACTTTTCTGGACACATTTAACATACATTCCTTGACTTCATGTGAATTAAAACAAATTTATCAATTGCCATACAGTCTATGAGGCCTCTTTTAAATACTTTTTAAATTCCTCGTTAAACATTAGCCCATTGTACTATGACTCTTCTGAGCACTGGAATGCCAGATGAACGTCTTGTGATTGATTTCTGCCCACAATACAGGTTTTAGGGGGCGTTAAAAAGGGACAGTAAGTTGTAGTAAAACAATGCTTAAATGAATATGACATAAAAGCCCCATAAAAGATATCTGTAGGAGTGGGCAGCATAACTTTCTAGAATTTAGATCTTGGTCCTCTGTATTTATTTTTATTTTTCGAGTGAGAGGAAGGGAGAGGGAGAGAGAGAAACATTTATGTGAAAGCAAGACATCAATCAGCTGCCTCCTGCAACGCCCCCTACCAGGGATCTACCCTGCAACCGTTTGGTGCATGGGATGATGCCCAACAAACTAAGCCACACTGGCCAGGATGGACCTCTGTATTTTAATGTTTCTTCATTGTTCTGGGATAAATACAACCATCCTTACTGAAGCCTCCAAGGTTCTAATATCTGATCTTGATGCCTGACCCATGCTACCTACCTCTCCATCTTCATCTGCTTCATTGCTCTTGTTCCCTCCAACCCAGCAACCCTGGCTTCCTTCAGGACCTAGTAAGGATCATGCTCCCTGCAGCCACAGGTTTTTTGCACATTAATTATGCATGAAATGCTCTCCCACCCCCAGCCTAATTAACTCCTACTCATCTATCAGAGCTTAGCTCAATTCCCACTACATCAGGAAAGACTTCTCCAAACTCCCTGACCAGAGCAATAAGACACCCATCTTACTTTTATCTGCATCACTAATCATTGCTGCAAGTTTATATGTAATTTTATACAATATTATGTACATTTTACATACCCTTTATAGGCAACTTTTATTCATGACACCATAGTTGAAAATTTACATTTATTTGTGTGATTATTCAATTAATGCCTATTTCCTCTACTAGGATGTTACTTTCATGACAACAAAATCCATATTTTTTTGGTCACCATTATATAACCAACACATAGCACAGGGCCTAGCCCATATTAGATGTCTGAAAGTATTTATTGACTGAATGAATAAATGACTAAATGCAATGGAAATAGGAACAATCTTGGGAAGTCCTAATTAAACAGATTTTAAAATCTTATTTCCCAGAAACAAACATAGGGAAGGAAATAAAGTCCTCTTTTAAATGCTGCCTCCAAATAAACGAACAAAAGAACTGGTCATACTTGCAAATTAAACATAATAGTCAGCTTTTCTCATCAAACTCACAATGAAAATATATTATTTATGCTATTATTTTATTATTTCTACTTTCCCACATCAATTCTTAAAATATTTCTTTTTGTTCAGAGCATATTTAATTTACATTGTTAAAATTTTCAGTGCTCTTAGGATATTACATGCATGGTCAGGATTAATACATCAAAAGACAAGTTAATGTTTTCACTTTGGTAAAAAAATAATTTTTGCTTGTCAATAGAAATCTCACATGACAGGAAAATCTTAAGCTTTCCTTGCCAAATAATTTAGTATCTCTGTACTGCTTGCTCTTTGCAAGTTTTTTCTTTATGTAAACTGAGTTCTAGCCAATTTAATTCATGAAATGCAAAAACTTATAGTCAAGGCACCATGTAGATGCTAAGGTGCATAAAAGAAGTAGGACAGAGCCTTGACCCTCAAAGAAATTGTCATTTGGTAGAGCTAATTTCCAAGTATGGACTTAATTTTATTAGAAAAATTTGTTTCTAAATTGATCAAGATCTAGGAAGGCATTTTCCCCAGAGAAGCAATGTCCCTTGTGCTGATTAAATAATTTATCACTGCTTGGAAAAGTCTCAGATTATATACTTTAAAAAACAACAACGCATCCTTCAATATTCTATAGACTGTACTGACCATCAAAGATCTTAACTCCTGAGACTTCCAGCCAAGATGGTGGCATAGGTAATCCTGGTGCTCACCCTCCTCCCACAACCACATCAAAATTACAACTAAACTACAGAAAAACCATCATTCAGAACTGCCTGAAACAGAGCTGAATGGAAGTCCTACAACCATGAAATTAAAGAAGCAGCCACATCGAGACTGGTAGGAGGGGCGGACGGAACCGCCTGGTCCTACACTCATGTGTGGTAGATAAAAATCAGGAGGGATACCTCTGCTGTGGAGGTTCCCCCTTGAAGAGCAAAGGATCCCAATCCCACACCAGGCAACCCAGCCCAGGGTCCCAGTCCCAGGGAAAGAAGTTCCCTTAACTTCTGTCTGTAAAAACCAGAGGGAATTGAGGCTAAGCGAGGCTGAGGCTGCTGGAGTCCCAGGCAGTTCCTTTTAAAGGGCCCGGGCATGGACTTACTCAGACTCCCTCCCTCTGAGTTCCAGGGAAGGGGAAAACAGCTTGAAAGGCACCAGAGACATATGGAGAGGAACTGAATTGTTTGGAATCAGGACAAGAGCTGGAGGAGCAGCTTTGTTCCAGACAGAAGTGCTGGCTGAACCCACTGTTCCTTTGATGAGCCCTTCCCCCACAGAGCCAGCAGACAAGTGCCATATATGAGACTCCATCAACTTGGCTCACTCTACCCCACCCTGGTGATTTCCTGAGACCCCACCCCATCCAACTTTTGGGCCCACCCAAGCTGTTTCCAGTGGCTTTACCACAGGAATGGCCTGTCTTTGTTCATGCTTCATATTTTCCTAAAATCTCTCAAACGAGCAGCATCTGGTCTCAGTGAGCCCAGTACCTCCAGCTAAGTGGCACCAGGCACGGCACTAGCAGCAGCAGCCTTGGTTTATATAGCTTGGCCTCACCTGGGCACCTCCAAGCCCAGAACAAGAAGCAGCCATCTGCAGATCACTTTGTAGATTATACCTGGTGGTCCCGGGCAGAACACAGGCAGTGGTTGACCTTGGTCGTTACCTTCTAGGAGGCTCCAGAGCCAGCACACCCACTGGACAGCTTCAGATCACATGGAAACACCACCGCCCACCCACCTCCATAAGCGACACACTCAAGGGTGGACTCAGTGGGTACCAGAGCCCTGCTGAAGCCCTGCTCTATGCAGTGTATCCCTGCACAGCTGATCCTCCAACAAGGTTGGAGGTCGGTGGTCAGTGGTCACAGCCAGTCCTTGCAGCTGATCAGCCTGGGTGAATCTCTACCATTGATGTGCCAACAGCAATCAAGATTCAACTACAACAGGAGGATGTACAGCCCACACAGGGTGGGTACACCTCAAGTGCCCAGCTGGGGTGATTGGGGAGGTTGTGCCACTGGATCCTACAGGACACCTACTACATTAGGTCACGCTACCAAGCCGGGGAAACGTAGCAGCTCTGCCTAATACAGAGAAATAAACACAGGGAGGTGGCCAAAACAAGGAGGCGAAGGAACATGTCCCAAATGAAACAACAGAACAAAACTCCAGAAAAAGAACTAAACAAAATGGAAATAAGCAACCTACTGGATGCAGAGTTCAAAACACTGGTTATAAGGATACTCAAGGAGTTTAGTGAGGACCTCAACAGCATAAAAAAGAACCTGTTATAAATGAAGGCTGAAATAAAGAATAATTTACAGGGAATCAACAGTAGAGTAGATGAAGATGAGAATCAAGTTGGCAGTTTGGAATATAAGGAAGCAAAAAACACCCAATCAGGACAGCAAAAAGAAAAAAGAATCCAGAAAAATGAGAATAGTGTACGGAGCATCAGGGACAACTTCAAATGTACCAACATTTGCATCATGGGGGTAGGTGCCAGATGGAGTAGAGAGAGAGCAAAAAATTGAAAACTTATTTGAAAAAAATAATGACAGAAAACTTCCCTAACTTGGTGAAGGAAACAGACATACAAGTCCAGGAAGTGCAGAGTCCCAAACAAGATGAACCCGAAAAGGCCCACACCCCGGTACATTATAATTAAAATGCCAAAGGTTAAAGATAAAGGGAGAATCTTAAAAGCATCAAGAGAAAAGCAGTTAGTTACCTACAAGGGAGCTCCCATAAGAATGTCAGCTGATTTATCAACAGAAACTTTGCAGGCCAGAAGGGAGTGGCAAGAAATATTCTAAGTGATGAAAAGAAAGGACCTACAACCAAGATATTCTACCCTACAAAGCTATCATTTATAATCAAAGAACAGATAAAGAGCTTCCCAGACAAGAAAAACCTAAAGGAGTCATCACCCCAAACCAGTATTATATGAAATGTTAAAGGATCTTATTTAAAAAGAATAAGAAGATTAAAAAAATATGAACAATAGGGGAGATTAAAGATGGCAGTGGACTGATTGGAAGTTATACTGACACTCTTCTGGGACCAAACTAGAATTACAACTAAAATATAGAAAAACCATCCTGAATAATCAACTGCAACTGAAGACCAGCTGGAGAGCACCCTCATAACCAAGGAGGAAAAGTGAAGACCACATAGAAACTGGCAGGAAGTGTGGAGGCGCCAGAGGGCTGGCTGGCCTCCCACAGGCAGCAGCTGAAGGTCTGGAGGGAGATCTCAGCTCTGGGGGTTCCCACTGAGGACTCTGGGGCCTAAACCCTAGGCTGGGCTTCCTGGCCAAGAGCACCAGAACTGAGAAAGGTGCCCATATAACATCTGGCTGTGAAAAGCAGCCGGGTTTCTGTCTGCCAGAAAGAGATGGCTAGAAATGCAGGCACCCTCTTGAAGAGCTAATGCATAAAGTTTTGTGTGCAGCCACTCACCTTGGACTCCAGCAGGGGGTGGGCAGAGTGGACTGGAGCTGTGTGAGGAGAATCAAGGGTTGTGGGCTTTGGAGATAGAGCTCAGAGGGCACCCCTCNGTGGACTGGAGCTGTGTGAGGAAAATCAAGGGTTGTGGGCTTTGGAGATAGAGCTCAGAGGGCACCCCTCTGGATTCCTGTGCTGAGTCATTCCCTATACATCAGAGGACATTTTTCACAGGCAGACTTTTACCTTCCAAGCAACTTTTGCCTAGGGGGAAGCAATTGCCCCACCCTGCTGGAAAACCTCTCACCTTATCCTGTGGAGTTTCTGCAGCCTAAGGCTCATAGATCAGATTAATCAGCCTGCAGGCGAGGCAGACCTCAGAGTGCTCTGAGTCTTTGCCTGATCTGCTTCTGGACCCGGGACGTCGAAAAGCAGACTTTGGTATGCATCTTGGCCCTATCTAAACACACCCAATCCCAACAAAGAGGACCTCAAGCCGCGGGTTGTTGGTAGCTCCAAAGAGGTTGCTCAAGGCCAATTACAAACAGTGTCTGACATTGGCCTGCACCAGAGACCTTCCAAAAAGACTGAGAGTCCTAACAGATCCATATAATACATAGAAACAAACCCAAACAGGCAGCCAAAATGGGGAGACCAAAAAACAAGCCCTAAATGAAAGAACAAGAGAAGTCTCCAGAAAAAGAGCTATATTAAATGGGTAAGCAATCTATCAGATATGGAGTTCAGAATACTAATTGTAAGGATGCTCAACAGCATGAAAAAGATATGGAAACTATTAAAAATGACCAGTCAGAAATGAAGAATGACATAGCAGAAATAAAGAATACATTGGAAGGAATAAACAGCAGATTAGAGGAAGCTGAGGATCAGATCAGTGAATGGAAAACAGGGTAGAAAAAAATCACTCAATCAGATATCTGAAAAAACAATAAAAAACAGGACAGTCTAAGGGAGCTGTGGGACAACATGAAACGTAACAATATTTGCATTATAGGAGTGCCAGAAGAGGTCGAAAGTAAGCAAAGGCTAGAGAACCTGTTTGAAGAAATAATGGCAGAAAACTTCCCTAACCTGGTGAAAGAAAAAGTTACTCAAGGTCAGGAGACACAGAGAGTCCTAAGCAAGAAGAACCCAAAGAGGCCCACGCCCAGACACATCATAATTAAAATGCAAAAATTCAAGACAGAGAGACAATATTAAAGGCAGATAGAGAAAAGCAATCTGTTACCTATAAAGGAACTCCCAGAAGGCTGTCGGTTGACTTCTCATCAGAACTCTACAGACCAGAAGGGAATGGCATGAAGCATTCAAGGTAATGAAAACAAGGATCTGAAACCAAGACTACTCTATCCAGCAAGGCTATCATTCAAAATACATGGTGAAACAAAGAGCTTCTCAGACAAAAAAAAGGCTAAAGGAGTTTATCTCCACCAAACCAGCACTGCAAGAAATGCTANCACCAAACCAGCACTGCAGGAAATGCTAAAGGGAATGCTCTAACTAAAAGTAGAAATAGAAGCATTGCAAGAAAGGTTAAAGGACTGCTGTAATAATAATAATAGAGAAACATAGGCATAAAGAATTAAAATGGCAATAAATAAGGACCTATCAATAATAACCTTAAGGACTTTAAGGGAGAGATCAACAGCAATACAGTCATAATCGTGACTTCACTGGATAGATCTTCTAGAGAAAAAATCAACACAGAAACAGTGACTCTAAATGGCACACTAGATCAGATGGATTTAATTGATATTTACAGAACATTTCACCCCCAAAGCTGTAAAATATACATTCCTCTCAAGTACACATGGGTCATGCTCAAAGACAGACCACATGTTAGGACACAAAACAAGTCTCTACAAGTTCAAGAAGAGTGAAATCATATCAAGCATCTCAGATCACAATGGCATGAAATTAGAAATCAACTACAGTACAAACACTCAAAAACATTCAAACACATGGAGGCTAAATAGCATGTTATTAAACAATGAATGGGTTACCAATAAGATCAAGAAAGAAATAAAAAGCTTACTGGAAACAAATGAAATTGCACACACAACAACCCAAAATCTATGGGACACAGCAAAAGCAGTCCTAAGAGGGAAGTTCATAGAACTACAGGCCTACCTCAAAAAGCAAGAAAAACTTTTAATAAACTCTCTCACCCTACATTTAAAGAATTAGAAAGCTCCCCTGTGAAGCCATCTGGACCAGGGCTTTTGTTTGCTGGAAGCTTTTTATTATTATTATTATTGCTTCAATTTCATCAGTTGTTATTAGCCTATTCCGGTTTTCTGATTCTTCCTGATTCAGTTTTACATGATCTCACTCATATGTGGAATCTAATAAATAAAAGAGACCGAGGAACAAAATAGATCCAGAGATATAGAAGCATGGAACAGACTGATGAATCTCAGTGGGAAGGTGGGGATGGGGGAGTGGGTGGGGAGAGATTAATCAAAGAACTTGTATGCATATATGGACACAGACAATAGTGTAGTGAAGATGGGGGGGCGGGATGGAGAGGATCAATGGGGGGAAAAAAGGGGAATATCTGTAATACTTTCAACAATAAAGATAAATTTAAAAAATATAAACAATAAGATGGCAATAAAAGAATAGCCATGGTGATGTAAAGTACAGCACAGGAAATATAGTCAATAATATTGTAATAACTAGGCATGGTGCTGTATGAGTGCGGGATTTATTGGGATGATAATGTATTAAGTTATGTAATGTCTGGTGACTGGGGTGTACAATAAATAAATAAAAAAATAAGAACAAATAACAACAACAAAAAAACTTACCGCCTTTGTTTTATAATTAGCTCTCAGGTCATACAGGTTAAAGCTATTTTCTTTATAAAATGGTTTTTCAACATCATTGTGTACATAATATTCCTTACACAAGAAACTTTCAGATTGACTAGAGTTGAAGGTAGATTCATTGGCAGTATTTTCAGTTAGTGACATTTCCGTGAATTTCAGGGTCTCGTTTTTGCAGTGGATTACAGGTGGGCTTCTAGGAGGTTGCCCGAGACATTCATGAACAATTTGGTCTTCATTTGTGGAAGTGTTGGTTCCCACTGGATTTTCCTCCTTAAATGAATCTTCCATTATATTGTTGTCTTTTGCATAATTATATACGTGACTTTGCAATTCTGGCTTCTCTATGTAAGGTAAGCCACCTGTCAGATTTTGAAATGTTATTTCATCATTATATGCTTTTGTCTGATGATATTTGAAAATGGGTTTAAATTGTCTGAAGGCAGAAACGCTGGTGTCAATTGGTCGAGTTAGCACATCCCGTGAATAATTTCCACTGTTGACATCTCATTAGAAAGAGGTAGAAGAAAATAAGAATTAGCTGACCAAAAGCTTATGTGTTAACAGTTATATTAACATTTATGAAATAAACTTTTTGAGCCTTTTAAGAATTATATGTATTTCAACCTTTTGCATTAAGTAGATTTTAGCTTGGCTTTGTGCTAGCAAACAAAACAAAACAGCTTTTTACATGGGGGAAAGAAGTTTGCAAATGACTGCTACAAAAAGCTTGTTATGTATTATTATGGTCAAATACCATTACAACAAAGTCTAAGATACCTTCAAAATTCTTTTGTTGTACTGTAATTTTAAAATGTTTTAATTATAAAGTATTTCAAAAGAATACAAAAGCACAGTGAATAGTACATAGCAAACACACATACCCCTATTTAATCTCATAACAACCCTGTGTAGTTAGTACTGCTATTATCCTCATTTTACAGATAAGGAAACTGAGATATAAGAGATGCTAACACTTGCCTAACACCACGGAGCTGGTAAGATTCTAGAATACTACGTCTAAACAGTATGCTATACACAGATTTAATACATTTTTTAAAATAAGGCAAAATAGAAATAGTGATGCAAAATTAATTCATGATCCCTCCTTTCTCTCTTGATGTCTTTCTTTCTCCCTCCCCAGAGAACCACTGTTACTGGAGCCAGTATGTATGCACTCTTCCCATCCATATTTCCCTTCACTCTTCACTATGTACCAAACTGATATATAACAAGTTCCCAGCCTTTCTCATTCTGTGATACCTTTAACGTCTCAGTAACTTTTTCATAGAACCCCTAGACCAAAGGAAATACCTAACGGTTCCTTTTATTGTCATTAAGCTCAAACAACTTAAGTATTTGTCCTACCAAATTAATAGCTGTATCAAAATACACATAAACTGAAAGAAAAATATTTTATTTCATTCTTAAGCAACCAAACTTATTACTTGAATGTACTGTTGGGCACCACATATCTCAAACTTTGGAATCAGATTGGACAAGGCCAACCCACACTTCCTATCCTACCTTGATTTTCATGCAATACTTGATTTTTATCACAGCAACCTCCAATATCAAAGCTTTGCAAATAAGATGTTATGGAAAGGATTGTAGTATTGTTTTATATTGAAATACTGAACTATCTCAAGCTAGTGATTTGTTGGGGCCCAACATATATCCAGTACCACTGTTTCCTTCAAATACCAAAAGATCCTGCAGCACCCTGGGCAAACTGTGGTTACACAGTATTGTTTTCTGTTTTAAAACGTTATGTAAATAGCGCTGGCTGGTGTTCTCAGTGGTTAGAGCACCAGCCCATGCACCAAAGAGTCACAGGTTCGATTCCCAGTCAAGCGCACCTATCTGGGTTGTGGGTTTCATCTCAGCCCTGGTTGGGGTATGTGCAGGAGGCAACCAATAGATGTGTCTCTCTCACATCAATGTTTCTCTCTCCCCTTCCCTCCCTCCTTTCCTCTCTCTACAAATCAATGGAAAAAATATTCTCCAGTGAGGATTAATAAATTAAAAAAATTTTTTTAAATGTTATGTAAATAGCATCATTATACATATACATATATATACACATATATTTTATCTCCCTATTTGTTTAATCTATACACAGAACATATACAAAAAACTGGGCTAGACTCAGAGGAAGAAGAAATATCAATAACTTAAGATACGCACAGACATCATCATGCTGGCAGAATGTAGCAATGATCTGAAACAATTTCTGATGAAAGTGAAAGTACCAAAGCAACGCTGCACTTGAACATTGAGAAGACCAAAAACCATGACTACAGAAGAAATATGCAACTTTAACAGACAATGAAGATATCAGAATTGTTAAACATTTTGTTTACCTTGGTTCAGTCATCAATTCAAATAAGAGAAATAAAAAAAATTAAAAAATTTTAAAAAGCTGAGACTTTAAGTGCAGCAATGGAAGAATTAGGAAAGATCACCAAGAGCAAAGATGCCATTAGAAACAGAGGCTAAGACCATCCACACCCTTTTATTCCTAATCACTATGTACAAATGTGCAAGTTGATCAGTAAGGAAAGCTGATAGGAAAAAAATTCATCTGTTCAATATATTATGTTGGAGGAGAGCTCTGTGGATACCCTGGATAGCCAGAGAGATGGGCAAGTAGGTCCTAGAGCACATAAGCATGAAACATGACTGCATGCAAAAATGACAAAGCTGAAGCTGTCCCATTTAGGACACATCTTGAGAAGGCAGGGTTCTTTGGAAAAGACAACAATGCTGGGAAACACAGAAGACAGCAAAGAGGAAGAAAATATGAGATGGATTAATTCCATAAAAGAAGCCACAGGCATGAACCTCCAGGAGCTGAGAGGGGCTGTTGAGGATAGGACACTGTGGACATCACTCATTCACAGGGTTGCCAGGAGCTGGGGCTGACTCAAGGGCAATATAAATCTCTCTCTCTCATATATATATATATATATATATATATACACATATATATATGCACACACACATACACACACACACATACACACACACATTACATATATAGGTATAGATATCGATATGTCATATAAAAGTCTTTATTTCACTTAAAATTTTGCTTTTCATACTTAGCCATGTAAATTCATGTAGATCTAGTTCATTCTACAGAGGAATTACACTTTATTTCCATTTTGTAGGGCATATATTTCTAATTTTGCTATTAAAAACAACACTGCAGTGAAAATCCTAATACACACTTCCTTGTACACTAATGTAAGTTTTTTCTTTTAATCTAAGCTCTGTGTATATACCTAGGAATGGAATTTCTGGATTATAGTAAAGTTCCTTTACTCTACATCCCTCCAACATGTCAAGCTGATACATATGAAATGGCGTTTTGTGGTCCTTTTAATATACATCATTTTAGGTACTTAATAGTCTTGCAGGTTTCCTTTTCTGTGATCTGCCTCTTAGATACTGTTAGGAACTGAATCGTGTCTCCTCAAAATTCACTTGTCGATGGCTTAATCCCCAGTACCTTAGAATGTCATATATTTGGAGATAGGGCCTTTATGGAGGTAATTAAGGTTGGGGCTCTAATACAATATGGCTGGTGTCCTTATAAGAGAGACACCAGGGAGACACAGAATAAAGGCCATGTGAGGACACAAGAAGATGGCCATCTGAGAGGCCTCAGGAAAAAACCAACTCTGCGGGAACCTGATCTTGGATTTCCAGCCTCTAGAACTGTGAGAATATAAATTTGAATTTCTGAAGCCACCCAGTCTGTGGTATTTCGTTATGGCAACTCTAGCAAACTAATACATATACTTTGCCTAACTTTCTACTGAGTTATATGTGTCTTTTCCTTACTGGTTCTTTATTTTGGATACTAATCCTCTGTCAATTGTATACATTACATGTATCTTAGATTGTGGCTTTTTTACTTTGTTGATTGTAATTTGGACACACAAATTTTTAAAACACAGTCAAATGTATTCTGGTTTGTATTTCTAGTATTATTCCCTGAGCCTCACTATTCTCATCTTTAAAATGAAGATAAAAACAGCCCATATTTATAAAGGGGAAGAAAAGCACTATTTTATGGGCTTGTTTATGAATTAAGTGCAATAATGTATATAAAATGCTTAGCATAGTACTTAGCTCTTATTATCATCATCACAGGACACAAAAAAATCTTAGTTTCTGTTTGTAAACTGCCAACAAAGAGATACTTACCACCTAACAAATCATCTAGTGTGCTACACATTTCTTCAGAAAGTGTGAATTTAGGCTCATTTTCCCTTTTTACATTCTTTATTTCATTCTGTATTAATGATAAAAAAAAAGACATTAATATTGATACTTCAAACACCGTAAGTCTCTTAAAGGTATATGTACATTGCTATGTAATTTAAAAAAAAAATATTTTTGAGAGATTGAGAGGGAGAGATAGAAACATCAATGAGACAGAAACATCAACTGTCTGTGTCTTGCACACCCCCTCCTGGGGACTGAGCCTACAACCCAGGCATGTGCCCTAACCAGGAATCCAACCAGTAACCTTTTGTGCGTGGGTTAACGCTCAACCACTGAGACACACCAGCTGGGCCATCGCTATGTAATTGTTAGTATTTTTTGTTGCACAGTTAGAATGTGCTCTCTAGTACCTTTCCCCCACTATATATTTGAGCTCCCTTTTAGTAAAATCATGCTAATAATGTCACAATATTAAATTAGAGTTAAACAATTATCTTGCTATTTTAATACTTTGTTCATTTGGTAAGTCAAACCATGTTTCTATAGGGGTATGTGATAACCTATATACCTCTTACTGACAATTCTTTGATGGTTGTTAAATCTTGTCTATTCAACATTAGAGTAGTTGTTATTCAAGTTTTTAAACATTGGATATATAAAACAGGGATCTAGTAATGAGATGAAATATGAATCCTTTAAATAGAAATCTATAAAAATTCATGTAGGGCTTATTCTTAAAGTTACCTTAATGTTATCTAAGATGAAAGAGTTTATTAAGTAAATTAATAAATAAGGGAAATATTTTAGGTGTCTAAGGAAAACATTGGCTTAATCATAAATAGTATGTCAAGTATGTGGACTTAAGTGATGCTCAAAAAAAAGTTCTTATCTCTTATTAAAGTCAGCTGGTTACAAATTTCTATTCAATATGCTTTTTATAGAATTGTTCCACTTATTGAATGTATCTGAAGTACAATAAAAACTGTTATATTTTATAACTGTTTCTTTGACTTGTTGCTAACTCAGATCATTCCTCCTAGATTTTTAAAGTACGAGGAATAATATACTTGAAAAATAAAATAGCACTACTCACATGTGTTGATGCTATATTATACACTTCTTGGGACTCCACTACTCACTGAATTTCAGAGATCACTTCTAACTCTTGTCTTACATGATATTACTGTTTTTAGCTAAACTAAGCCTTTTGTTCCCTTGGTCTATAAATATTCTATAAAGAATAAAATGGTCAGCAAAATCCAGGAGGGAGGACTTCCTTACAAGTAATTTAAGACATTCATTCCTTACAATTCAGTACATAGTAATTTGGATCCCAATTGATGCCATAATACTATGACCACATTTTTCCAAAATGAAAACAGACCAGATGTCAGGCTCCTTGTGTTCTTGTCCTGACTGTGTTACTGAGTTATGGCGATGTCCTCTCGCTATACTCATGGGACTTCATGAAGAGGCTAGAAAGGATCAGTTTTAACACTATTTGTAAAATTCTACATTTCTTGAAAACCAGTTCCACTATTCCCCTCTTCTATGCCTCCACTGGAGATTTCTTTTATTGTTCCTCACATTTTTAAAGAAATTTTCATATGGAACACAATGTGAATGCTAAATACACCTGTACCTCCCAGAACTCATAAGCAATGCACACCTGAGGCAAGTCTGAAGTAGTGCTGCCGGTTTCCATATAGAAGGGAGAATCTGAGTGAGTTAAGTCTTGAGAAAGACTGGTGAAATTCATGACATCCGCTTCTGACATGTTTTCTAATTTTCCATGAGAAGCATCCACTTCAAAACATACAGGATCTGAAGGTGATGACCAAGCTTTTTGATAGGTCTTGTTCCTAACTATTGAATAATGATGGAAGGCTTCTTTAAAAAAAACATGATTTTAAGGTCTTTTAGTATATGCAAACAAAAAGCTTTTCCCCCCTCCCTCTGCATATTAAGAAAGCAGTAAAGTTCATTGCCCTAAATTTTAAAATGTCATTTGCCAAGTTATAGAAAAAATAAAAAAAATTTAGTCCAAGTATACCATGGTAACTTTGTATGGTAGTAAATAATTTGGACAAAACAAAATTACCTAAAAGACCTGGGACCCAGAAGGTGAAGGGATCTCTAAGTTATTTAATCGAAAGATATTCACAAAATATTATCAGAGACCTGTTAGGTTCCACCAAACACTGTATTTTCTACTTACTTAATAATTGGCATTTGAATATCTCTTTATCAAGTAAAATCCAACATTGTAAATCAATTTTCCCTCACTTCCGCATGCCACACTTATTGTCTCGGGCGCTTGGGATTTGAAAACTGGGCATCCTTCTATCTCACTGTCCATGGACTATTCAGTTTACCAAGTCCTATCCATTCATCCTTTAAACATGATTTTCATAACCCATGGTTTCTTTCCATCCCTTAGGTCATCACACTGGTCCATATTCCTGTGATTCCTCAGGTCTACTGGGGGTTGGGGTGGAAAGGATGTCCAATCACACTGACTTAAAATTATTCTGCTCGGCTTTCTAGGTCTTCCATAGCCTGAACCCACTTTACCTAGCCAGTACTCCCCTGCTCTAGTAAGATCAGTGTCACTTCCCTGCAAACAGATCATGCTTCTTACCACTTCAGGGGTCTGCCCTGGCAAGTGTTTCTGTCCCCTAAAACCTTCCTATCTACCCATTCACCTATTTTTTAAATTACGAGGTATTTAGTCTAAATCTCTCACACACAATTCAGTACCTATCCCTTTTACTTAGTCTTCACCATTGTTCCAAGCGTGTTAGTGTTTATATTTACAGGTTATACATCAACTAGAGTCCATTTATGGTTTTTCAATACCCCCTAAAGCAAATGGACAAGTGTTGTCCAGAGTAAATATTAATTTAATAAACCCTGCATTCCAATTATTTATTTCTATTAAAACTTCTCAATCTACAGTCACTACTCATTTGCCTGGATTATTTTGTTGAATTATCAAATTAATAATTTATTGAGGATTTTTTTTTTCAAATTTATTCCATCCTTTGGTTAAGTATAAAAAAGTCACCGAGCCTAGTCAGGATTGGTGAATGGTCCAACTTTATGCTCATCTTTTCCCTATTCCCCAATACATAAATGTTGCCTAGGTTGGTGAAGGGAGTTTGAAAAATCATTGTTTTGTTTTCCAAATGCAAAAAACGCAAGCACCTTCTTAAATTTATGGACCCAGAACTTCCAACTACACTATTACAACTTCGTTCATATGGCACAATCTGCCAATTTATTTTAAGCTGGGCTTACGTTTTCCATCTTTCATTCTGAGCTTACCAGATTTATGTTAAACTTTTAAAATATTTACTCCAATGTTTCCATAGATACTCCAGAGACACTCTAGGGCTGTTTTAAGCCGGGCGTGAAAGAGGCGTCGCTGGCTCTCGCGAGAAGAAACGGACCGGCGAGGCCGCCCGCGCGTCAGCCCTCGCGTTCCCGGCCCCCAGCCCCGCC